TCGAGGAAGTGCTGAACGGAATCATGGAATAACAAAAGTTTTCTGTAATGTTTTAATGTGATCATGGAATAATTATTTTTTGTCAACAGCATACGGTGTAAGTACTATAGATTCAAAGATAAACAAGCTTTATTGAACAGGTGTAAAAGTGAGAGTACTCTGGGATGAGTACTCTGAGAAAAGTACTCTGAGAAAGTACTCTGAGATGAAATACCTCGCTGAAGGTACTGGGAGCCCCTCCCTCTGCTGTTGGTCCTGACAGTGATTCGGTCCAACCGCAGTGAGCGGTCATTGGGCGGAGGACAACTTTGGTTTGTATACTCACATTTAGGGGAGTGTAAAATTAGAAACATACATATTGTTAAGTCTGTATTTGGCTACAGCCTCTGCCCTGATGTCACGACACCGTCTGTCAATGCCAGTTAGTGTTTTGCCCAATTGGATTGATTGACAGGCTGCACCATGCGAAGAGAGGGAAGTGGGCGTGTTCTTGTGTCTCTAATGTTTCTTTTTCAGATGAATAGATAAACTGCACCTGCTTCAGGGATAACACAGTAGTATGGATCATAAGGAAATGAGCCTCTACTTTGGCACCAAAGCCCACAATATGAATTGAGGACGATCCGGGGAGGAGCAACAGGATTGGAACAGTAAGCTACACACACACACAATGCATGTGTTATATACTTTGGAACCCACGACCAACAGAGGGGTCAGTATTGTATTGTCATAGGTGGTCCAGGAGGTCCTTAACCTTCTAAATCATTAGAAAGAAGTGTAAAACATATAGTTACAAGAACAAATAAATAATAGAATAGGGCAGCCTAAAAAATGCAAAATGGAGAGAATTATAAGTAATTTCGGAGTCTGCCAAAATGAAATAAAATTCTATATTTGTGTCCCATAGGGGGTCATTATAAAATTTAGTGTTGTGCAAATTCAAAAGGAGAAATAATAGCGCTTATAACATCAAACAGATCTACTCTTTAAGATAATAGAGCTCATATAATAATAAGATAATAATAGAATAGAATGAAATAGTCTGGAGCTATAATGTCATTGGATTCGAGGAGCTATAGGTTGACAGTGTCAGAATAAACAATAGTAATAATAGTTAGACTAGTGAATAATCAAAATAGTTCTATTGTGGAAATAAGTATCAATAAGGTCAAATTGTTCTAATAACTAAAGTAAAAAGGAATCAAATGGAGTCAGATTTAAATGTTTCTGTTTTCCACATCTGTAGGAACTATGTGCAGATGTGTTTATAAGAGTAGGTATTAAAATGCAGACATAGAACGACAGGCTTTAACACAATTTTAAATCTAAAAAATAGCTCAAATATAACATTGCTCTTGACGCAGCTCTGAGCTGCTCCATTGGAGAACAGTCAAATGTTATTGTTTATTACAAACAGCTGATGTATCTACACATATTAAGTTTGGGACAACTCTTTAAACAGCTATAAGCAGCGGACAGAAGCCATGAATGTGCTTTTGTTTATTAAATAATTAAATGCATAGCCTTATAATCGTGGAAAACGTTTTATAATAGTTAAAATCCCTTTCAGGCAACTTGATTTAGATGTATGTCTTAATATTGGAGAACGACTGTGTTGTTTTTGGAATTGTCTGAAATACAATACATAGAATAGTGATTTGCAGAACAAGAACCAGCCAATAAAAAATCGTCTATTGCCAATGCTATTGTTACAATTTCAGAACTCAAAAATTGGGAATATGCTTGGGCTCAAACTACAACCAAGATTTGGAGTCACAATAGAGTATAAAATAGATAGATGCTTTCAAAAAATAGAGATTATTTTTAGACAGGGCTAATATCAAACGGTAAAAAGACCATTTCCTGCATATTATGTCCAAAAGTATTTACTTCAAAGGTAGATGAAGTTCATTACAGTTTATGCACAGGTTTATTAGATACTGTCAAATTCGCTTGTTTCAAACATAGGTGATGTTAGATTAGATTAAACAACAGAGATTCAAAAACATTTAAAAGCATTTTAATGTATTTGGGTATAGCACAAAAGTAGATATTTAGGTATTTTTTGAGAATTTTAAGAGCTGTCGACTTGTCAATATGGATTAGAAAATCGAATACCATGGTAGAGTAACTGACCCCAAAAACCTGCTAAAATAGATTAGCTCCTGTACGGATAATACCAATTTGATTAACGATGTACATTTATCCCAAACGGTCTGAGAGAAGGAAGTGACAGCACTTCCTGGTTCAACAAAATGTGTTTGGAAAAATGAGCAAAGCCCCACAAAATGGCACAGAGCCACTGATAATGACAGCAAACCACAGTATAGATAGATTTATTAGATAAAAACATATGTTTAAGAATAGGGCTCAATAAAAGCAAAATAAGCAACCATATTGGTAAATAGATTAGAATAGTTTAAACTATAGTGAATAGTTTTAGTGCATACATTACAGACGAGGTTGAAGAAGAATCAGAATGACAGCAGTGGTCATCAAAGAGTTTAGTGAAGGAATGTTTCGAATGTGGTTGTGTGTTGTTTGTCTTTCTGTATTGGCTCTTCACAGATATCAAGCCTGAACTAAGCACAAGTATGGATGATAAACGACGATGTGGATTGTGACCTAATTTTTAATCAGGTCAAAAGAGGGAAACTGTTGCATAATTAAAATGTTGTATACTAATGATTTTGAAAATAGGCCCTCTGAAGAATGTGCACGGGGAAAAGCCCCAAGGACAAGGATTGCAAACAGGAATAAAGAGGGTCAAATGGAGAAACTACAATCAGTCATAGAGATACCAACTTTCAAAACGGGACAAATTATTAACTCCAGGAATAAACATTCTTGTCTCTCTGGCGAGGCCAAAAGTCCAAAACACCATCTGGCTAATCTCTCTCAGGCAGACTGGGAGATTCTCCAAAGGCATTCTGACGCCTCCCAGTGGACACGGGACGCCAGCACACCCGAAAAGAACATTCGGGAGACGCCCACAAGTGACGTCATCAGACGTCTTGATAAAACTGTTGGTTTGAGTTCTGGGGGGAAGGTTAGCGCAGGGGAAGAGGAGAGGGACATATTAGTTTTAGGAGCACTTTTTTTGTTGAATATTCTGTATCTGATTGTAAAGATAATTAAATGCAGATGTTAAACGTGAAGATCTCTTGTCTCGCTCTTGCATCGACTTTGGATACGTCAGTCAAAGGGAATTATTGACTACATATACTATACTCTGGGAGGCCCACATTGAGTGAGGGAGAGGTCCCACGGACAGAAACATAGAATATCCGTGCCCCGGCGATCAAAGATGGCGGCGTTTTCAAATCAAAGGCTTCTGTGGAAGACGGACGTTTACCTCTGAAACATGTGAAGTCATATTGTCGCTAACTTGCTTTTGTCTGGTATAGAAAAAATCTACCGCACTTTTAACCAAGTGTGTGTTTAGTGCCACTGCTCTGCTTTGCTCAGTGAAAGGGAAGAAATCCTCTGATCGCTAACTTGATTTGTGGTTCGAGCAGAGGCTGCAGGACCTCATTGACGTTGCCTAAAGGGGCAGAGCTCAGAGTGAGACGGCAGGACTGAATGAGGCTGGGAAAAATCCCTAACGGAGTTAAGAACAATCTCAATAATATAGTGTGCATAATTTGAGTTGAAAAAGAGAATATTTACTTGTTTTCAGAAAAGGGAGCATGAAGGGTGCAGTTAAGTGCACTTTTCTAATAAAGATCTAATAAAGGAAACCTCTGAAACTGGAAACAAATCATGACGTACAGCCCCAAATCCACAGCAGCTGTGGCCTCAGAGGACCGAGGACTCTACAGCAACAAAACATGACTGTTTTAGGACCATGTGCAGTCATTCTGTCGGAGCCCCTAACCCTAAGGACTGAGTGAGTGTGACGTCACCGTAGTGTTAGCTTCAATGGGGAAGAGGCTGCTTTGAAAATAAGCTAGCTGGAGCCAATTTCTTTAAATGGGCATTTCTTCCATGGCATTAGCTTCACGCCATAACAGGGGCGGGCATGTTGCTATGATGGTTGCTACGGCAAGCAGGAGTTTCTCCCGCATGTGAGGGCCTCTGATAATAATGGTCAATATGTTTGTAATATATCATACATTGGTCTAATATGTCTCGCAGAAACTACTCAAACTTCCACGGCTGTCATTTTGACTGCTCCCATTCGAACCAATTGAATTCTGAAAAGTTACCATCAGTTATATAAAAAAATACATTTACTCAATTATTATATGCACAAAAACTGGTGAATATAATTTGAAATACAGAAATTAAGTCATAATAAAATCCACACAATGACACTACTTCTCTGCTCCATTTCAAAATGAAACAAATATTTTGTAAAAATAATGACGTATGAATTTATTTATTACAAAAAGAAACAGAACAAGTCAAAAAGTTATGAAGATAAAAAAAGTGAAAAAGCAGAGTAATGACGCTTCCAAAACTATTGACTGCTCCGGAGGTCTGGTGCTGGTCAAGCTAGGAGGTTAGCATTGTCCATCACACAGTCTGGACCCCGGACGCGCACAAAAATTATGAAAAATAAGTCAAAAATTGCTGTAATGTGGTAAAAATGTATCTCAATTTGATCACATTTTGACTGAGCCTTAAAAAAAGATTTGCTGATGGGCCAAAGCAACATTCTCTTGTTTCAAGAAGAAGATTCAAGAAATGTCTCACTTGGAATGAGAAAATAAAGCAACAGTTACTAAATGGCTTTGTCCTGTTGGAGAATCTTGTTTTAACTCAGTCAGAATGTGTCATGTTAAGATAAAAACCACTCGATTCAAGCAATTAATGCCTCATAATTTATCATTTCTGCAGTGAAGAATAGAAAAATCACCTCTGTACTTTTCCCGTACTGAGGTGTCTCCGTCCGCAGCCAGACTCATGATCTGTCTTAGTTTAGTGTCTCCAGAATCCCGGAGCAGAGAGAGGATAACAAACACATGTCTCGTACGTCTGCGTCTCACGGTGAAGGATCAGGAAGCGCCCCACTCGTCTCCCATCCTCACCACCCGACAGCTGGCCTGGCTCTGCCTCCGTCTCCACAGCTGTGCTCCACTTGGCTCCACATTATTCTTGCTCGTGCCTTTGACCTGGATACGAGACGTGCTCCGGGCCCTTGTGAGTGCGACACTATCGGGCCCTCCATTAGCGCGTGACAGGGGCCGTTTACAGCAGCGAGGCCCCTGGAGAAGCAGGTTAGCGGTAATTACTCAGAGAGGCCCCCGGTGAGTCAGCCCCGGAGGAGGTCTGAGGAGGTACTGACGGTGAGACCAAACATGAGGGATTATCTCCACAGGCAGAACACGGACTGTGACATCACTGTTTATCAAGTCCATGGGGTCTATAGTCTCTGTAGTCTCTATGGAGTCTGTAGTCTCTGTAGTCTATATGGGGTCTAGTCTCTGTAGTCTCTATGGGGTCTATAGTCTCTGTAGTCTCTATGGGGTCTCTAGTCTCTGTAGTCTATATGGGGTCTAGTCTCTGTAGTCTCTATGGGGTCTATAGTCTCTGTAGTCTCTATGGGGTCTCTAGTCTCTGTAGTCTATATGGGGTCTCTAGTCTCTGTAGTCTATATGGGGTCTAGTCTCTGTAGTCTATATGGGGTCTAGTCTCTGTAGTCTCTATGGGGTCTATAGTCTCTGTAGTCTCTATGGGGTCTCTAGTCTCTGTAGTCTATATGGGGTCTAGTCTCTGTAGTCTCTATGGGGTCTATAGTCTCTGTAGTCTCTATGGGGTCTCTAGTCTCTGTAGTCTATATGGGGTCTCTAGTCTCTGTAGTCTATATGGGGTCTAGTCTCTGTAGTCTCTATGGGGTCTATAGTCTCTGTAGTCTCTATGGGGTCTCTAGTCTCTGTAGTCTATATGGGGTCTAGTCTCTGTAGTCTCTATGGAGTCTATAGTCTCTGTAGTCTCTATGGGGTCTATAGTCTCTGTAGTCTCTATGGAGTCTATAGTCTCTGTAGTCTCTATGGGGTCTCTAGTCTCTGTAGTCTCTATGGAGTCTATAGTCTCTGTAGTCTCTATGGGGTCTAGTCTCTGTAGTCTCTATGGGGTCTATAGTCTCTGTAGTCTCTATGGGGTCTCTAGTCTCTGTAGTCTATATGGGGTCTAGTCTCTGTAGTCTCTATGGAGTCTATAGTCTCTGTAGTCTCTATGGGGTCTATAGTCTCTGTAGTCCCTATGGAGTCTATAGTCTCTGTAGTCTCTATGGGGTCTCTAGTCTCTGTAGTCTCTGTAGTCTCTATGGAGTCTATAGTCTCTGTAGTCTCTATGGGGTCTATAGTCTCTGTAGTCTCTATGGAGTCTATAGTCTCTGTAGTCTCTATGGGGTCTATAGTCTCTGTAGTCTCTATGGAGTCTATAGTCTCTGTAGTCTCTATGGAGTCTATAGTCTCTGTAGTCTCTATGGGGTCTATAGTCTCTGTAGTCTCTATGGAGTCTATAGTCTCTGTAGTCTCTATGGGGTCTCTAGTCTCTGTAGTCTCTGTAGTCTCTATGGAGTCTATAGTCTCTGTAGTCTCTGTAGTCTCTATGGAGTCTATAGTCTCTGTAGTCTCTATGGGGTCTATAGTCTCTGTAGTCTCTATGGGGTCTATAGTCTCTGTAGTCTCTATGGAGTCTATAGTCTCTGTAGTCTCTATGGAGTCTATAGTCTCTCACCGGGCGGCACGGTGGCTGAGTGGATAGCACTCTCGCCTCTCAGCAAGAAGGTCCTGGGTTTGAATCCCGGTTGGACCAGGGCCTTCCTGAGTGGAGTTTGCATGTTCTCCCCGTGTCTGCGTAGGTTTCCTGCGGTTTCCCCTACCACTAAAAATGACACCCCCACTCCAGTGAAAAGGCGGTATATAAATAAAGATTGCTACTTACTTACTGTAGTCCCTATGGAGTCCCTATGGAGTCTATAGTCCCTGAAGTCCCTATGGAGTCTATAGTCTCTATGGAGTCCCTATGGAGTCTATAGTCCCTGTAGTCCCTATGGAGTCTATAGTCCCTGTAGTCCCTATGGACTCTATAGTCTCTGTGGAGTATTTGGTCTCTGTAGTCTCTATGGGGTCTATAGTCCCTGTAGTCCCTATGGAGTCTATAGTCTCTGTGGAGTATTTGGTCTCTATAGTCTCTATGGGGTCTCTAGTCTCTGTAGTCCTTATGGAGTCTCTAGTCTCTGTAGTCCTTATGGAGTCTATAGTCTCTGTAGTCTCTATGGAGTCTATAGTCCCTGTAGTCCCTATGGGGTCTATAGTCTCTGTAGTCTCTATGGGGTCTATAGTCTCTGTAGTCTCTATGGGGTCTCTAGTCCCTGTAGTCCCTATGGAGTCTATAGTCCCTGTAGTCTCTATGGGGTCTATAGTCTCTGTAGTCCCTATGGAGTCTATAGTCTCTGTAGTCTCTATGGGGTCTATAGTCTCTGTAGTCTCTATGGGGTCTATAGTCTCTGTAGTCTATATGGCAGGGGTCCCCAAACTTTTTCCTGTGAGGGCCACATAACTTTTCCCTTCTTCGATGGGGGCTGGGTCAGTTTGTAACAGAAAAAGTTTGATGATTGCAGCGTTGAAATAGTTACTAACTAATAGTTAATTATGAAAAAAGTTCATAACTAAGGAACTTTTTATTTCAAAAGTCCAACTTTATTATCAAGTACACAGATGAGTGTGTTCACAGTAAAGTGTCAATTAAAGTATCTGGACTTTAAAAGGTTATAACTCAAAAACAAAAATCACTATCATAGATTAGAAAAAAGATTTCAAGCACTGACAGATCAGAGATAGTGTGGATAAAATCAAAGGAAATATTGACAAATATATTTTTGTCGACATTTTAAACGACCAAATCAGCCTCTGATTGGACCATTCTACCGTGACGCCGGTTACATAGAAAATAAAGTGTCCTCAGTCTGAAAAAGCAGAAGATGAAATCCCACAAGACTTGCATAGTTAACACAACATCAGTAAATCACTTGATATAAAAAGGAATTGTTAAAAACATAAATGACCCTTGTAAAATGTTTAACGGACGTGATGGTTTCCGTCCATTTTTCTCCAACAATTAAACTTGAGAAAAAAAATATCGGGTCTGGTTTCACATTTAATTGGTTGACTATATGAAAGCACTTTGTTTTTACTCTCTGTAAAAAAAAATATAGAATCTCTGAATCAAATGTGGACATCTAAAAATACGTAACAAACTTCCACAAAGCCCATTCCGTCAAATCATCATCGTCTGTTACATAAAATAAACAGGGCCACTATAGGAAACTTGTCTAACGCATAAAACAGTTTTGTTCTAGAAACTTCTAATGGACAGAGGAGGTGTTTGCAAACATGAAAAACATTAAATATCTTAGGATTATTAAAATCACATTTTTGTGCCCTTTAGTGTGAACAAGCCCATATGAAAATACTCTCTGGTATTGTTCAGGGGGGCCGGAGCAAATGTAGAAGGGGGCCGGGTCCGGCCCGCAGTTTGGGAACCACTGCTCTATGGGGTCTATAGTCTCTGTAGTCTCTATGGAGTCTATAGTCTCTGTAGTCTCTATGGGGTCTATAGTCTCTGTAGTCTCTATGGGGTCTATAGTCTCTGTAGTCTCTATGGGGTCTATAGTCTCTATGGGGTCTCTAGTCTCTGTAGTCTCTATGGAGTCTCTAGTCTCTGTGCTCTATATGGGGTCTAGAGTCTCTGTAGTCTCTATGGAGTCTATAGTCTCTGTAGTCTCTATGGGGTCTATAGTCTCTGTAGTCTCTATGGGGTCCATAGTCTCTGTAGTCTCTATGGGGTCTACAGTCTCTGTAGTCTCTAAAGCACAGGTTAAGGCCCGGGGGCCAGATCCGGCCTGCGGACCATTTCCAGTGGCCCTTGAGATGATTTTAAATTATCAAATCAAATAGCAGCATAAATGGTCATAGGCCACAGTGGCATGTAATCCATTACTGAGAAAACAACCATAACATGTAATTCCATAAGAAATGTGAAGCCAAAATGTAATTACAAGTTAGTATTATTATGTTTTTCTTCTTGATGATATGAAGGAGGATTTCCCAATTTTCTTTGGAAGGAACTGCCCTCTCCAACAACAAAACTCTGGTCTTATTTGACAAGCACATATTACCAGAATGATGGACAACTGGGAGGATCAAAACCTTTCATGATCCACCCGGAAGTTGAAAATCTTCCTATGTACCTTCAATATTTGGTCCAGTTTTGGTCCAGTTTTGGTTCAGTCCACAGGTACTGAACTAATTCGAATCAGAAAAGAATGTCCAATCCAACTAATGTGAAACAAGTCATTTATTTAGATACCTTCATGTTCCAAAACATTTCATAAATGAAACCCACTTATTTTTTCAGCCCCTGACCAGTCCTTTCTATTTTTATTCGGCCTAAACCAAAATAAGTTTGACACCCCTGCTCTACAGGGTCTGTAGTCTCTGTAGTCTTGAAGTCCTATTAGCACAGGATTATTTTTACCAGTGGAGCTCTGGTGATTTGTGATGATCACGGAGGACGTGTGAGATCTTAGTCCAGTGTGCACCATGTCTGTAAATCGTTAAGTCATAATTCTGCCACAAACGACCTCCTGTATTTGTCCAAACACAGACTGTGATGATACCGATCCATAGAACCTTCATGTCAGTGATTGAGATCGCTGTTGCCGCCTTCTCTACTTTCGGTGTTGTTTTTTTTATCAGTATCTTGCGTCTTCCCGACTCGAACCATGGAGGCTGTGGTAGAAATGTTGAGTTGCAGTTTTGAAGCTTTTTAGTAGTAAACTATATAAACTTGTACACTTCGTTAGTGCAGCGAGAGAGGGACCCCTCTCTGAGCAGAGGAGTCGTGTATCGCGGCTGTGTACACAGCTGCAGAGTAGTGGCTGCTGCTGTCTCTGTGAGGTCTGTGGAGAAGTGTAGAGGACAGAGAGATAGAGACCAGAGAGAGCCTTTCTTGACACCTTAAAATGTGGAACTTTTCCAAGTGGTAACTTTTGTTTGTTACTTTCGTGGCAATAAAAATAATTCTGATTCTGATTTATGACTGTTATTGTTTCTTGTGGATTGTCTAAATTAAAGGAGCAATATGTAAAAATCTGGCCAAAAGTGGTACTGCAGTCACAGTCAATATTTTGTAGTCCTCTCCCACTCCCCCTGACTCAGGTTGCCAGATTCACACCAAATCCAGCAGCAAACACAGGGAATTATTTTATCAGTTGTTTGTCCGTCTCCATTCACATTGCCATGACAGCTGTGCTAATGCTGAATGAATGTTTTGATTAATGTTTTTTTATTA